CATCTTCGACCTCTCTAACCTTCTAACATCTTGTCCGGGAAAAACAAGGCGTCTCACAAATTTCATGTACGATTTCATTTTTCAAATCTTTTTTTACTACTCAATAGACACTCATTGGTGAAACTCCTCACTAACATGCCCAAAGTTTTTGGGCTTGAGTTGGATCTTTTCTAATTGATCTCTTTAGCTCTAAGTTGAAATGACGACCTTCCTTCCTGTTGTGACCTCCTGATCCTGTTTTCCTCTCGATTGTTCCCTTTTTATTTGATGATTCTTAAATGGGTTTTGAAGATGGAAGCCAGAGTATGAATGCTGGTACCATTACTGAAGGACTGAATGAATTTTTCCCTCTCACCATTGCTCACTTGAGAAGAGAGTAGGGGCTGACATAAAACGATTTTAACCTATTCTATTTTAGCTGAATAACGCAAACTGTTATCCAGTGAGTATTACGACAAATGGTGTCAAGATGGTTAAACGTCTTATCTGAAAACCTGGAAAAAAACTCAATTAGTTTAATGCGTTTTTTTTTGTTTTTTTTTAGATATTAAACGTTTTGTGGGATAGACAATTAAGCTGTTACACGATTTAGACAATTTTGCTGTTACATCCTGAAATAGTAGAAATAGCGATAGAGCAACGAGAGGCTTTCAAAGTTTCGTCTGTGGGGAAAGAGGTTGTAAGATGGAAGATAATTCATCACCCACAAGGATACGGAAACGCTTTTGGAAAGACTTACCAATATATAACAGCTGTACTCCATTTTCGACCTGATCTGGCTCTTGTAAATGGAAACGATAGCAGAAGGAGTCAGGTCGAGGGAACACTGAAGCTGTACAGGAAAATGACAAGTTTTCCAGCATCCTTAGCGGTAGATCATATGTAAGAGTTCCACTTCAGGACTGGGTTCAGTTTAACTCCTAATAGTTAAAAGGGCGAGGTCTCCCTGTGGGAAGGTGTCGTTCATAATGACCAGTGGAAGTTCAGGATCTGCGACGTAATTATGGAACTTTTCTTGTTTTTGTTTTCCAGACATTGAATGTAGCCAACCAGTTTTTCTAGTTTTTTAATTGTTTACGTCAGCAGGTTCAATTTCCAACATGGCGGTTTTAATTGCTTCCCACAGGTTTGCTTTGCTGTCAAATTGTTTGGCACTTTCAGATAATTTCATCTTCACAATTGAGCATAGATTCTCAATCAGATTCAGATTAGGATTTGATGATGACAATTCCATTATCTTCTGTCCTGTAAATCCTTTTCATGCATAAATACGCAAAATAAAATTGCGAGAATCGGACTTGTACCTTTCAAAGAAAGTCTTGTCCTGAAATCGCTATAGTTAGCACTGTTTGAATGGTTTAATAATGCTTTCGTCGACAATTCTATCACATAACACACTGACGTCTATTTGATGTTTTCTTTTAGCCACAGGTTATCTGCATCGATTAAAATCCATCCTTTGTCTCATCCAACAGGTTCGTCATGAGTCACCCGATATTCGTCGGTGAAAATTACTTAAATTTTTATCTATTTCTTGGCCTAATTTTGACGCTTTAAAATATTTGCTTTAGTTCTTAAATAAACCATTGAGATTAATATGCCACAAAACAAACTAAAGGAAACTATACATTTTTGAAAAAAAAAAATAAGAAAAGAAAATATTACCACCTATACAATTTTTGAAAAAAAAAATTACCAGCTATATATTTTCTGAAAAAAATATTATCAGCGATACATTTTAAAGGAAAAATATTACTAGAAATACATTTTTGAAGGAAAAAAAATACCAGCAATGCATTTATGAAGAGAAATATTACCAGCAATAAAATCCTTTTCAGTATTAAGTAACCCATTGTGAATGATATGCCGTAAAACAAGCCAAAACAAACCATAAGTTCTCAGTTCGATTAAAATCAAAATACGATGAAGAATATTCAATTAATTTGGTATCTTTCAAACCACTTCTTTTTGGGTCAAGTTTTGCATGCTGTGAAGAACTGCCTGACATCAGAAATAATTTTCTTGATTACCTATAGCAAACGAAAACGTTCTTCTCAAGAACGACAAATGATTATTTAGCTTGATACATTCATTAACTTCGAAGTGTCCTATAATTGTGCTCTCTTTAATAGCAACACCAAGCAGTATAAAAATTCTCGACTGTTGTTTCCAAAGTCGTGTTACTTGACTATTTCCCTGAAGGATTCAAACTCTCCACACGTCATTCAGTACGACTAATATGTCTCTAAATATTATTGTTCAGAAATCAATTTTCATTGACATTTTTCCCAACTTCCACGTTTTTCTTTTTATCATGTTGACTTACATTTGGTAGTTTCCTTTGCTTTCATGTTTATATTAGCCTTCAGCCTTGTTCGACTTACATTTTAGACACCAGTTTCTGCAAATATTTTCCTGCTGATCAATCCGTTTTTGTTGATTATTACCCTTTTGATTTTTTTGTCTCTGATCTCGTTTGTGACATTCTTAAACCCGCAACGCAGTGTACTTATGTTGACAATGTTTCCAATGTATCTTTTTTTCTCATTTTGTGATTTCTGTTCAACTTTTTCTCAATTACCTATTACGAACACTCGTCAATTTTCTTATATCTTATTTCGCTTTACAGTCTGTATTTTTCTTACGACACGTGATTTCTTTATAGATCTGAAATGAAAAATAAATATTAACATCTACTATATATATATATATATATATATATATATATATATATATATATATATATATTATAGTTGTATATTTAGGCAAATCTTTCGTTTATGCATGTTTCATTAAGAACGACAGGCAAGGTACTACTAAGAAAAAGCCAACACTTAACAATATTAACTACGAACAAGGCCACAATGAACTAACCGTATTCTGAAATTAAAATATCCCTACAACACACCAAAATATACACATAATGCATACACTCAATTAAGCTGAAAAATCGAATCATCCTTGATAATGGCTAAAGGTATAGCCGAAAGCGCTCGGAAATATAAAACATTTGGACAGTTTTACACACTCTTTGTCCAGAAAAGAAAGATTTTGTTCGAACACATTAAATAAAACGCTTAACTGTTATTTTTAATGAAACATGCCTATATATATATATATATATATATATATATATATATATATATATATATATATATATATATATTTTTACATCCTTACACAAAAAAACCTTTCAGGTTTTGGAACTCTAATGTTCCTTCATGGGTGATGATAGATAACTGATAATTTTTCCTTTTTGATTGACTGTATGGGTTGTGTGATTGTTTCTAGAGTCATAGGAATGGTTTATTTTCCGAACACAGCCAGCGCATTGTAACCGTGTTCGTAGTTAAAATTATTGAGTGTTGTTTTTTTTTCATTTTTATACAGGCCAGTCGATGTATCGGTTATAGGGATTTAAAAAAAAATGAAAATGACGGAAGCCTTAATAAGGCTTCCGTCATTTTTTTTTTTTTACATCACTATAACCGATACATCTACCGGTCTGGATACTCGAGAATTCTTCTTAGAAAAAGATGCGTTCTCCGGAAGGATTCGAAACTGCGTCCCTGAGGGGAAACAATTATTACAACGTTTCGGACGTTGTAAGGACCGGCCTTCTTCAGGTGGTTGGAATGTTGAACTGAATCCTTTATCTACCCTGGGGTAGACTGTTCAAGTTCCCCGTGCCATGTTTAATGGATGTCAGTTATCAGTTATCTCCTATTAATTCCCTCTGAAAGTTCTCCACTACCTTAACCGGGTATTAAACTTTGGGTCCTGTTACTGGATCTAACCAACGCCTTTATTCACTGTGCCGTGTGTCCTTGAGGACATCTGTGTATGTTCTGGGTATTATAAACCTAATGTCTTCAGCAATCATTTTACCAGTGCTCATATTGAAATTTTTGCTGTTATCATTGCATGTTTTTACCAGAACTCATATTGCAATTTTTGTTGTTATTAACGCTTATCTCTGGCACTCCTTATTACATAAATAAATATGGCGACAAAGATGAGGACAATAGTCCGAATAATGTAAATAATGTGCATAATACCTCATCTCAGAAATATAAACAGATACTGTTTAATAAATCAAAAATAAATAATAATGAAAAACAGGGCCTCTATTCAAATAGGAATATCCTTTTTAAAAAATAACCTTTAAACAAATAAATTAAACAGTCTGTCGGATTCTATCCATTTCCTAATATATATATATATATATATATATATATATATATATATATATATATATATATAACCTTGTACAAATTAATTGAAGCAAAACGAATAATTCCGATATTATTTACATTTTTATATTTTTCATTTTTCCAATGAAACATCACCCAATGCACATGAGTAGTACTTCGTATGTCCATTCCACGAAGTGGTTCTTTGCAGATTGACCACAGATTCTTGATTGGATTTAAATCAGGAGAGTTTCCGGAGCAGTCTATTTGTTTGATTTGCTCACTGGTAAGGCTTGCCAGTGTGTTCGTGCAGCGTTACAAATTTTCGTACACTTCCGTGGAGTAACGTCCATACGGTCAATTTTAGACCCACTGGAGTGAGATGGTGTAATCGATTTCTATTTTTAACCCAGATTAGGTCATTTGCAGAGGTGTCCAGTAATATGAATCTATTTTCGGGTTGTATGATGAAATTTGTTTAGCCTTGAAAAATATTGCGTTGTCCGTCATTGCATCAGATTTTCATCACGCCCAGACATTATTGTCTCGACTGTCGATTAGTTGTCTTTCGGCCATTGTCTGCGATGGACATTACTCCAAGGAAGCATACGAAAATTATCACTTATTTTAATCTTATTCACTTATTTTTTTTTAATCATATTAACTTAAAAGTAATTTTGAAATATGCCAAGAAAAATCTTTGAATCATATTCATTTGAATTTTTTTTTTTTTTTAAATATGGCAAAAGATATTTATTTTCGTTTTAATATTTAAAATATTGTTTGTTTAATGAAACCTGAAATCACGCAATCACAGAGACATGGAGAGAGAAAAGTGAAAAAAGAGAAAGATGGAAAGAGAGAGGTGGAAAGAGAGAAAGATGGAAAGAGTGAGAGAGAGGTGAAAATGGAGAAAGACGGAAAGAGAGAGGTGGAAAGAAACTTAAATCATTATGCGCCCGACGCTCGATGTAAACACGATTCACAGACTTTTAATATTAGATAGATAGATAGATAGATAGATAGATAGAAGAAAGAGAAACAAAAAAGGGCTGCTATAGTAGTAGTGATAGTAGTGGTGATAATTGTCGTGGTGGTGCTTTCTCAGTTATTTTTAATGTTCTTTTGTTATTTATTAATTTACTTATTAGTAGATTATATACAATTTTTTATTTTATAAGCCATGCAATACAAACACTTATAATAAACATTGCTTTAAATATTAGTAGTAACTATATATCAATTGTATTTATGGGTAAAACATATTCGTGTAATAAGTGGCTTAGGGAGATCTGAATATCGCTTCATACTATTGAAAACACTAGAGAAAAAGTCAAAGAAAATTTTAGTTGAAAACTGAAGTTATGTCGGTGTCTGGTGAAGCACGCCGTGTCTCCTTGAGATCTAAACGCTTATCAACTAAGAGTTTACCGTTCTTGTTGTTCACAATAACAATAGTAAAATGGAAAGAGGAGACCTGGCCCTCTGAACGTGATAGCCCGCTATAATATGAATACGCTCTGTCGACCACGAACCGGCCCCCACATATGGGTAAATACGAACTAACTATGATGCTGACACAACGAAAAATATTGACAAACCGCATTGGTCGTCACGCGAGTCAAAAAGGACAGCGATCCCAATGAGGAACCTGACTGTGATCAAAAACTCTGAAACTGGAAGAAACTCTACTTAACGAGAACTACAGGAAAACCACGCCGAGAACAGTCCTCACAGAGGCCCTCTATATTTATTAAAAGAAAATTCCACAAAAAGAACAATAAATAAATGGTCTCGGTAAGACTATATTGAAATAATGATAGCCTTGTACACTGCTACGATAAACACGAAAACGACAACAACGACTAAAGTCGCCTGTAACATCTGGCGCGAAAAACTCTCCTCAAACAGACTAAACATCGATATCAAGAAACTAGCCAATATCAGGCGTGACGTCATAAGGAAAAAAAAGAATACCTAGCAGAGAACTTGAAAGCATCCGAGAAAACATCAAAAATAGTTTAAACGTTAAATACAAAAACCCAGAGGAGACACACGCAGAGGAACAAAGAGAAACCAGTTGTAATAATCCCTACGCAAGCAAATAGAGGAAGATAATAACGAATATGAGAGAGAAACAGAGATGACAAAAACATCCGATATAAATGGGAGAATGTAAAGGAAATGTCTTTCGAGGAAAGGCCGACAATTCCAAAAGTAAGAAAGAACCGTCAAGTTAAGGAAACCATCAACCCTTGCTAAACAAACAATTAGAAAAATATGGGACAAAATGGAAAACTGATGAATCTGAGAGAAATCAATTATCTTAAATACGTAGCCTCGGCAACAACCGCAGAAAAGTAGGTGAAAAAGTAATAAAAACGTAAACAAAAAAGAAAAATGCCACTAGTAAATAAACTACAAGGACAATTGTCACTTCTAAGTAAAATAAATAAAGACTTGAAAATGAAAGAAAGAAAAGGGAGACAACCGAAACGAAGCCTTCATATAAAGAATAACACTAACGTACCAAAAATTAAAGAAAAGCTGAAACAACAAATGCAAGCGAAGGAACAGAGAATCAGGTGTTATGAAAAAAAAAACAGATTCTTCTGGCATAAAAAGAATACACCAAGAAACTATATCGAGAACTTGGAAAAAATAAAATAGATATAAATGACGCACCTAATATCAAAGAAGTCGAGGAGTTCAGGTGTAAGTAGTGCGAAAACTGCAAATGCACAATGAAGAGCTACATGGACCAAGTAACAACAAGAACATTACACATACAGAGTGCCAAAACCAAAAACTGGAAAGCACCAGGAAATATACCAAATAGCCAGTTTGGGATAAAAACCTATATACCACCCACCAAGACCTCACACGGACATAGAATAATATAATCATAAACAGAGAAAAATACCCCAAATGGCTCACGTTGGAGTAACATATCTACTCCTAAAAACAGAAGAGACATAGAACCCGAAGAACTATCGACCCATCACCTGCTTACCGACAAAGAGAAGGTTATGGGTGCAAGGACCAACTAATTATCAATGAAACAGTACTGGAAAGGGTGAAAACAAAGAAAAGAAAACCGTATCGACTACAGAAAGGCGTTCGACACTGTTCTACATTCATGAATAATGAAGAGCCTCAAAATATACAAAGTATGCTCTACAACTGTCAAACTCATAACGGAGAGCATGGAAAACTGAAAGACTACATTAAATCTAAACCATACAATAACAGGAAAACCAATCATCATCAAAAGCGGGATCTTCCAAAGTGATTGATTGTCACCACTACACTTCTGCCTTGCATTAGATCCACCCAGCTGCCTAGTGAACAACAGCATGTACGGATACAAGTAACAAAATGGTAAAATGAATCACCAATTCTATAATGATAATCTTAAAATGTTTACCAAGGATGATAGCCAGTAGAAGAAACCTATTCGAACTCGACTCTCCGATTCCTCAGTTCGAACCACTATCTATTACTCTAGCGAAATCTAGGCAAATCCCATATCTTTTGACTGTTATTTTCTAGCACTACGTCTGGTTGATACTTATACCATTTTCCCTTTCATATTGAAGTCCTGTTTACGACATACTTCCTGGGTGATATTGCCCACAGATGGATGATTTCAACTGTTGGGTAGGCAATGAGCTAATGAACAGTACGGCAATTGAAATTTTGGTTGTCTAATATAGAGTTTTGTGAATTAAAACGTTATTTCAACATATGCTACCTGAAAAGAATATGCAAAGAACCTGTATTAAAAATTATAAAAAAGCAGGAAGATAAACGAGAATAATTTCGAGATAAGATTCATAGTTCGGCAACCTTTTGCTGACTATATGCCAACTTAGGATTTAAAAAAAAATTCAGTGTGCCGACAGCATTTATACAAAATGAAGATCAATATATCTGTTCTACAATATATTCTATATAGTAATATATGGTATATATAAATGGTGTTTCATTGAAACGGATCAAAGTCAGCAGTAAATAAATCAGTGTTATTGGGGAAAATTATTTATTTCTCTATTGGATTATGTTAGTTAAGTCATGGCAATAATAACATCACTCGCTAGATCTGAAAGAAAAAGAAAAAAAAATAGACGGTTAAATTTTATTCACATTAAAATCGGGAACACGCTTTATATAAGGGAGAGGTTATAGGTGGTTCATTAAGACAGATTATATATAAAGGGTGTTTAGTTAAGATGAATTATATATAAGGGTGTTTCATTAAGACGGATTATATATAAGGATGTTTCATTAAGACGAATTATATATAAGGGTGTTTCATTAAGGCGGATTATATATAAGGGTGTTTCATTAAGACTGATTATATATAAGGGTGTTTCATTAAAACGGATTATATATAAGGGTGTTTCATTAAGACGGATTATATATAAGGGTGTTTCATTAAGGCGGATTATATATAAGGGTGTTTCATTAAGACGAATTATATATAAGAGTGTTTCATTAAGACTGATTATATATAAGGGTGTTTCATTAAAACGGATTATATATAAGGGTGTTTCATTAAAACGGATTATATATAAGGGTGTTCCATTAAGACGGATTATATATGAGGGTGTTTCATTAAAACGGATTATATGTAAGGGTGTTTCATTAAGATGGGCTATATATAAGGGTGTTTAATTAAGACGGATTATATATAAGGGTGTTTCGTTAAGACGGATTATATATAAGGGTGTTTCATTAAAACAGATTATATATAAGGGTGTTTCATTAAGACGGGCTATATATACGGGTGTTTCATTAAGACGGATTATATATAAGGGTGTCTCATTAAGACGGATTATATGTAAGGGTGTTTCGTTAAGACGGATTATATATAAGGGTGTTTCATTAAAACAGATTATATATAAGGGTGTTTCATTAAGACGGCTTATATATACGGGTGTTTCATGAACAAGGGCTATATATAAGGGTGTTTCATTAAGGCGGATTATATATAAGGGTGTTTCGTTAAGACGGATTATATATAAGGGTGTTTCATTAAGACGGATCCAAGTTAGCAGTAAATAAATCAGTGTTATTGGTGAAAATTTCTTTATTGGATCATATTATTTAAGTCATGGCAATTATGTGTGAAAAATAATATCGCCCAAATGTCCGTCAAGGCTTCGGTGGCACACCTTCAGTTTTTAATTGTTGTTTGCTAGTTAGCATAGACCTTACTTTGAAGATGACCCTAAAGGAAAAATCTAAAGGCGTCAAGTCGCACGATCGCTGTTTCGCGACCTAGGAACCGCACATTCCAATTCTGTTTGAACGTTCATTTTCGTAATAGGCTTCGATAATTTTCACACCTTGTTTGATTGTTAATATTTCCATGGTTGAAATTGCCAAAGTTGTTAAATTTGAAAAAAAAGGAAAAAATTATTACACGCTTAAACTTAATTAACATTTAAAATCGGTTCAAGTTATTGGAACGCCCTTTAATACAGGCAGAGGTTATAGGTATTTCATTAAGACATATTATATATAAGGATATTTCATTAAGACGGATCAAAGTAATCAGTAAATAAATCAGTGCTACTGGTGAAAATTTATTATTTCTCTATTGGATCATGTTATTTAAGTCATGGCAATTATATATGAAAAATAATATCATCACCTAAATGTCAGTCAAGTCTTCGGCGGCACACCTCCACTCGATGGTCAAAATGTTTGATGACGTCTCTGCATAGTTGCTCCTCGATCTCAACAATATGCCTTATTATCTCATCCTTCAGCTCTTGAACTGTTGTTGGCTTAGCATAGACCTTATTTTTGAGATGACCCTAAAGGAAGAAATCTAAAGGCGTCAAGTCGCACGATCCAATTGACTTCGCTGTTTTGAGAGATGATGCGAACTGGGAAATTCTCAATGCATTTCTGTTTGAACGTCCATTTTTGTAATAGACTTCAATAACTTTAACACGTTGTTACATTGTTAATCTTTCCATGGCTGACATCACCAAAGACTTAAGTTGTTAAATCTGAAAGAAAAAGAAAAAAATCATTAGACGCTTAAACTTAATTCACATTTAAAATCGGTTCAAGTTATTGGAATACGTTTTACTTCAGTATATATTGAAACAGCTACATATTCTTTGTGTTATAGCAGTTATTGGTTCGGAATTCGTGATATCATTTGCGGTTGCGTGCCACTGAATATTGGTTGACGTGCCAAGTGTGGCACACGTGCCGTAGGTTTCCGACCCCTTAATGCTAAATATTCCTGCAAACAAAGAATATTTTTTTTTTTTATATTTTTGAGAAGGGTGAATAAGATTCCAATAATTATTCAGACGGAATAACTCTCTTTTTGGAAAACCAATAACAACTTAAAAATAAGTAAAATTAACAAATAACATCGGAATAATTTTTATTTAATATAAAATATTTTTAGTTTTTTATTACAGTGGTAATTTATGAAGGCCGGAAAATCTGACAAAAACAATTTATCCCTCACTATATACTTTTGAATACTTTTGAATATTTACTATAGTGGTGGGCGGTGGAAAATTTTATCAATGTGAAAGTGGGTAATGACGTAAAAAAAGGTTTGCTCTAACCAACCCAACCCTGTTTTCTCTTTTAATCTTTTTTTTTCTGTTAATATTCACTGAATATGTGGTTAAATTCCTTATCCGGTTGTCTGCATATCCTCAAAAATTGCAGCATTTTCTTTTCCTTTTTCCATTATGTATTCTATCAATAGTTTCTTTTTTAAGGAGGTTGTTGAGTACATTTGCAGGCATTTAATAAGTTAATCCAGAAAATCTGCAGACATTACTGCCTTTATATATTTAAAACCTTTGAAGTCCTCGATAATTAACAACATGTTTCTCGTTGTTTCATTCTAATTCTTTCAATTTGCTCTCATGTTATCTGGACATCTAAAAATAAATCAAAAATAAAAGCAAGAAGCACATGCTCGTGTTTTTAGGAGAAATAAAATCAAAGATTTCTTTCACCACATGACAAACACGTGTTTCTTTATTTGTTTTTAATGTTTGCATGAACAGTTACTTTCTCTTAAATCCCCTAAACGTTCCATTATGTTTTTTATTACAGCCATACTTCCGCCATCTTGCTTCTGTGGTGCATTATGGGTAAGTATCCTCTTGCTTCCAAATAGTGTAATGTCAGCCACAAGTGGAAATGTTTTCTTCTATCTATGTCTAACTAATGTCAATTAAGTCACAGCTTAACATGTTTCGAACTTAGGATGGATTTAAGCTTTTAAAAAACAAACCTCTTGATTGTTTCTCTCAGAACTAGAGTTTAATACGTTTAAATATGTTATCTTGCAGGAACTTGTGATTTCAAAGATGATATTGTTCCAAGAAGTGGCTGGCCGCTTGAATTCGAGTATGCCTGTCTACTAGGGCGGCTAGACAATCCCTATGGCAGACGCCTACTCAGACAGATTTCTGTTTGTTCAACACCTACATGACACACCTGTGATTTATAGTGCAACAATGCTGAGCAGACCTTAGTTACAATTTCCGGGAGAGAGCACGTTATCAACAATCAGAACAAGGCCAGCACGGTGAAGCCCTCGGCCACGATGACTTGTGATTCGTGCTAGCACAGCTTTCGACGACTCTCAGATAGTTCCGTCAACACAATTTCTCTCAAAAGGCTTGGGTAAAAGGTGCTGCATGCAGGGATCGCCTCTCCAGGCCGATAAGATCAGGAAGTCAACTTCCTGATAGATGAACCCAGATGTGATTCGAAACCGGTTCTCATGGTCGGAAAGCGAAATTTCTAACTACTCGTAACATATCTTGAAAACTATAATGACCTCAGCAAAACATATTTTAATCCAAAATAAATATAAATAATCTTTATTAAATTAACAAAAAATATGAAATATGAATAATCTTTATTAAATTAACACAAAATATGAAATATAGGAAAATCTTTATTAAATTAACACAAAAT